TTTGGTATCTTTCATTGAATAAATTGAAGTTGTTTTGGTTCTAAGACTATTTAGCCAGAATGAGTCAAACGAACTCCCAACCAGAAAAAATAAACCATCCAGTGTGGAGATACATGCCTACTAGACTGCGATAGGTAATATTCCAGTTTCGTGTGTATGGGGAGTTTAAATTATTTATTTTTACCTTATGTGTATGAGCGTTCCTGCACATGTATAAGTGCACCTTGTCATGCAGTGCCCCTGGAGGACAGAAGAGGGCATCAGATCCCCTGGACCTGTAGTTACAGACAGTTGTTAACCACCATGTGGGTGCTGGGTTCAAACCTGGTCTTCTGCAAGAACAGCAGTGCTCTTAACCAGTGAGCCATCTCTCCAGCCCCATGTATGGGTAGTTTAGTTCGATTAATACTCTTTTAGATCATAATTTTGACCTAACAGTGAAATTTTACAATATAAATAATCATGGCGGTTGTTTTGTTATGTTTTTGTGTTTTTGATACAGGGTCTCCTATAGCCCTAGCTGGCCTGGAACTCACTATATGGACCAGGCCGGTCTCGAGCTTGCAGACCTGTCTCTGCCTCCCATATGCTGGGATTAAAGATGTTGTGCACCACCACTCCCAATTATAACAGTTTTTAAATGAAGAAAAAATTCCCAGGAAAAAAATTTCTCTTGCAATTTAATTTTCCTTTGCATCCCCTGTATGTTATATTACCACCCTTTAGCTTTTTTGTTGTTCACAGGTTTCTGATGTTGGCTAAGGTAGTCATGGTTTTTATTTTCTCTCTACAGGTTCTTGGTGAAATTCAGGAAATTGTGAAAACCGGGCTGTGGGTAGGAGATTGCTTCATCTACACAAGTTCTGTGAACAGATTAAACTATTATGTTGGTGGAGAAATAGTCACCATTGCTCACTTGGACAGGTAGCTGAGCATCATTCTGCTTTTGTCTTAAGCAGCCCACATTTGAAAATGCTTTGTGAACAGACATAGTGTTGACTTGTAACAGTGACAGGCTGATGTTCCTACGTTAGAGTTTTAGTAGGTTTTCTGTTGGGAAGCAAGAATCCATCAGATGTGAAGATTCTGAGCAAGAGGAGAGAGGAGGAGGAGGGATATTCTATAACTAGATTTAAGCCTTTAATTTCCTGTTTCTCTTATAGGACGATGTATCTTCTGGGCTATATTCCGAAAGACAACAGGCTTTATCTGGGGGATAAGGAGTTGAACATTGTTAGCTACTCCCTCCTGGTTTCAGTCCTGGAGTACCAGACTGCTGTCATGCGGAGGGACTTCAGCATGGCTGATAAGGTCCTTCCTACTGTCCCAAAAGAACAGAGGACCAGAGTCGCACACTTTCTGGAAAAGCAGGTGAGAGAAGTTACCTCCTCTTTGGTTTTTTTGTTTGCTCACTTGCTCTGTGTGTTTGTTTGTTTGTTTTGGATTTTTGGTCTTTTTTGAGACAGGGTCTCCCTCTAGCCCCAGCCGACCTGGAACTCCCTATGTAGACGAGGCTGGCCTTTAACTCACAGAGATCTGCCTGCCTCTGCCTCCCAAGTGCTGGGCTTAAAGGCATGGATTAAGTGTCGTTTTCTCTTTGATACTCAGTAGTCCTTCCAGGAGTATCCTCTAGACTGGAGACCTCACCAAAAAGCAGACCTGTATGTCCCGAGACAGGAGGGACTGTAATGGATCTGTGCTCTGTTTAGGCAATTTTGATTTGTTTTTAGTATTCTTTAGAAGACTTGAGGGTCTGAAGTGTGAACCATGTTGTTCTATGCCGTCCTCACTTCTGACTTCGGACCACTTTTCTCCAGTGCTTTTACTCCTCTGTCACCTTCCAAGCTTTCACAGTGTGGTTGGCCATATTTCCTTTCATTTTTTTAGGATGTCCTTAGAAGTTTATGCTCCCCAAAGCAACCAAAACCCCACCCTAGTGTCATTTTGATGTGTATTTACACCTCATTGAGTCTGCTTTGTGCCCACCGGACTAGCTCTAAACATCTGCTTCACTCTTGGGTTGTATGCATTCTGTATCAGTGCTACTGAAGGAAAGGAGGTCATTTATAGCCACTGTTGATACTGTGCTAAGGGCTAGATGAGAGGAGCACATTTCCACCTCCATAGAGGCGTCCTGAAGATCTAGCAAGATTGAAGTCGGAAAGCAGTCCAGCTTCTCTCTCTTGACCATCCATAGTGAGCATTCTCCTTCAGACAGGAAGTGAACCAGCCCCCCTGACCTTTTCCTCCAGTGCAGCACCATATTCCCAGAGCTGAAGATCTTGCCCATCAAGTTCTTAGAGGAGAAATTAATTTTATAGTTACACTAGTTGGTTTAAAAGCCCGTTCCTGATGGCTTCGTGTCCTGATACCTTAATGAATGTGGAAAGGAAACTGGGCTTTCTTCCTTTGGCTCTTTGATGCAAATAGGCTGGACCTGAAAGGACCTGAGACCAGCACAACAGGCATAGGAGTGAGCGCTCTTCAGTGTCTGGACCCCAGGCTACAAAACATTTGCTAAGTGACCTACAAGTGATAGGAAATTGGAAGGTTTTAATTTGCCTTCCCCGTCTTTGCCCATTTTCTGTCAATCTGTGACATGAGGCCTGAACAGATGGTCTCTAAGGACCAGCCTCATCGGGGTTTCCAGCAGCTGAGTTTACCTAAAGCATGTGTCTCTACACTTTCATTGCTTGAGAGATACATTCAGTAAAATTTTATTTTGGATTTAATTAGGACTTACCAAAATGTGTGAAATACATGTATATTGATCAGTTCTTTAGTACTGAGCCACATCTCTAGCCCCCCAAGAAATCTTTTTAAATTGAAGCGTTATTATTAGAGTTTTATAGGGTGATCTCTAAAGTCTTTAAGTCTAATGTTGTGTGAAGTAGAAATTTTAGAAATATAAATAAAAACACAAGAAGAAAAGGGAATAATGTAAACTTCTCACTTGCTAAGAATGTTTTGCATTGGTGGTGGTATTTTTATGAATTATAACGGGTATCAGACTGCTTGGAGTATAGAGTCCATTTGGTCCACTGTTTAAAATCCAACAGATTTTAAAATGTCAGTATTTGCTATGCTTTAGAAATCTCAAACTTTTAAATTTTAAAAGCTTTTAAATATCAAACTAAAAATGTACGAGATGGTACAATAAGCTTTTCAATGTTCTTCTAAGGTATTGAGAAGAAAATGTTTGTTTTTTTGATTTTTGTTTGTTTTTGTGGTGGGACTCAGGGTCCCACAGGATGCACAGTGGCATCCTATGGCTACATACCAGTGGCCTACCTGCCTCACATTGGCAAGTTGGTTTGCTTAGTGATTTCTTTTCTTTCTTTTTTTTTTTAAATATATTTTGTTTAGCATTTTTTTTTTTTTTAATGTGTATGAGTGTATTGCCTGCATGTATGTGAGTGAACCCGTGTCATGTAATGCCGCGGCGGTCACAAGAGAGCGTTGGAATCCCCTGGAATTGGAGGAAGGACAGTTTGTAGCCACCATGTGGGTGCTGGGAATCAAACCCTGGTCCTCTGCAAGAGCAGTCAGTGCTCTTAACCACTGAGCCATCTCTCCAGCTCCTCCCCCTTAGTTACTTCTTATAGCATGCAAATGCTATATTAATAATTACACACCTTCTTTATCATTGTGTGTTGATAGGTGCCAAATACTCTTTTAGATGCTTGGAATATATTAGTACATAAAACAAAGTGCTCCCCCTTGAGAAGGGGGCTGGGAGCACAGCACACTTGTGTGTGGCTATACAACATGACTATGGAGGGAGAGGTTTCGACAGATTTTTAAATTATTTGTTAAGATACAAAATAAAAGCAAGGTGTGGTGGCGCACGCCTTTAGTCCCAGCACTCGGGAGGCAGAGGCAGGCGGATCTCTGTGAGATTGAGGCCAGCCTGGCCTACATCGTGAGTTCCGGCTATAGGGAGACCCTGTCTCAAAAAAGAAAGGTACACTTATTTGTGTGTGTGTGTGTATGTGTGTGTGTCCCCCACATGAGAATATATGGTATTCTTTGACCCATTGTCCTCTTGTTCCTCTCTCTCTCTCCCCTCCCTCCCTCCCTCCCTCCCTCCCTTCCGCCTCATAGACTCCTTTCCACTTTCATGTTATTCATATAAATAACCATGCATACGTACACACACACACACACACACACACACACACACACACACACACACACGA